TGGTATCTACAATATTTTTCGTTGTTGGGACATTGATTTTAGTTTGCAACTGTCACTTATGACTAATGTGGCTCTGGTGATGAACACATTTTGAAGGGGAAAACAAACAGAACGATTGACTTGTTACTGAAAATTAATTAAAACTAGATTCCAGCAGAGGAGAAGAGGAGAGAGATGTCAGCATAATTTAGAGGCATGGGAAAGGTAAATCAAAGAACACTCAATTTCACAGCACGTCCAGTCAACATCAGAAAGAGGAATAAACATGTCCTTGTTAGTAATATTTAGACACGGCTGACTTGGGCTTCTAGGCCTCTGCAAAACCAGTCTCTCTTACATTCCTGGGATCCCTGCAGAAGAATCAGCCAGAATCAGGTTTACCCATGTTGCCAGGGGGACAGCTTTCTTCTCTTTTCCAACTTAGAAACATGGAGCATTGTTCCTCTGTGGGACCCCAGGCCCCTCCTTGGCCCAAGATGTTAATGCAGGTTAGTTTTGTGCAACTTCTGTATGCCTGAAGAAAGTGCTTTCTGGAAAAGCTGAAACATGAAGTCATCTGGAACAAGATAAACATTTCTAATTTGGGCTTGTCCTCTTTAGGTGATCTTGCAGGAACCTCCAGGGCCCTTGATAAATTAGTTCTCCAGCTCTAATTCCACAAGTGATTGTAAAGGAGAGAGAAAAACTGTTGAGAGAAGAGGGATTTGGAGAAATATTTATTTGTCAAGGCCAGAGTTTGCAACCTCTCCAAGTAAGGTGTTGGCTTCACCTTTAGGGTTGCGTCCTTGGTGGCATCTGAGCAGGCCTGTCCTGGGAAGTGCATGCGGTTTCTTGAGTCAGGTGGCCCATGGGTTTGATTCCTTGCCTTACCACTTCTACGGTATCTGCTCTATGACAGCTGACTTTGCCACCTCATCATAAAGTGGGGACAATCTTAGCTTCTACTTCACAATCTTATTAAGTGGTTAAATGATAACATCCATATGAAAATGCAGAATGATGACCCCCTTGTGAGAAGCAGTAGATTAAAGGCGTTTCCTTTATGTCCTATGAATGTGAGCTTCACTCTTTTGCCTTAGGGAAAAGAATTACAGTACATATTTTGTGTATTTCATTCAGCCAGTCAAGCCAATGTTTTGAGGTGTACTATGTGCCAGGCCCCATGTGATGTGTTGAGGCCAGAGCCGTGAAGGGAGAGACGCGCTTTCCTCTCTCACATGCATAAGCAACAGAGAGGCAAGAGCAGGAACTTGCCCCATGGCTTTCCCTGGTGACTATACTAATGTCCTAGGGTTGTGATGACAAATGACCACAGACTGGTGGTTTAGAACAACAGAAATTCAATCTTCCACAGCTCGGGAGTTCAGCAATCTGAAGTAAAGGTATTGGCGGGGCCTTGCTCCCTCTCAAGGCTCTGGGGAAGGATTCTTCCTTGTGCTTCTAGCTTCTGCTAGCTGCCCTCAGTCCTGGGCATTCCTCGGCTTGTGGATGTGTCATTCATCTCTGCGTCTCCGTCAGCTGGACTCCTGCCTGTGCGTCTGTGTGAACTATAATGTTGGATTTGACCCCCACCCTAAACCACTATGACTTTATGTTACCTGATGACATCTGCAAAAGAACTTCTTTCCAAATAAAGTTTCATTCAGAGTCAGGGTGGATGTGCACTGTCAGGGGATGCTATTTGCCCAGCACAGTGAATACGCCATGAAGACAAAGAAACGGAATCAGATACCAGTGATGGAGACAGTGTCCCTGACACCAGAGGAGGCACTGAGTGGGGACGGAGAACTCTGGGAAAGGGATCTCAGGGTCCTCTTAGAAGACAAAGGACCTTAGCTATAGGGAAAGTATTCACTTCTTAGGGTTAACTTCTTTCCAGACAATTTTTCTTTCTAGGCTAGGACATGTACTCAGAGGACAAGCTAAAACCAACTGGGAAGTTTAAAAACTAGGCAGCCATTGTCAGACCCCCCACCTCAGACCAATTATACAGAGTTTCTGGAGGGCGGGCCCCAGCTCAGGTGCTTTTAAAAGCTCCCCAGGTGATTCTAGTGAGAAGTCAGGACTGAGAGTGGCCCCCCCGGCTGCGTGGTGGAACCACATCTTCTAAATGCTATATCTGGATGTTCTCGTCTAATTTCTTAAAGCATGACTGATCCCTGGATGCTGGGCATTTGATGTTCGGGCACAGCCAGGGGATCAGGATTGTTCAAGCTCCCCCGGTGATCCTACTTGTCCCAGTTAGCTCTGCCTGCAGGCATCTGGGGGTGAGTCATGCAGAGGAAGGTAAAATCACATTGGAAAAGGCTTCCATGATTCTAGGGGAGAGATACTTTGGAAGCCAAGATGTAACCCAGGGTCTCTGGCCCCCAGTGGAGGAACTGTAGAAAAAGGGTTTGAGGAGGAGACACAGAACAGTGAAGGCCCCTGATCCGAGGCTAGAAGTAAGATGCTGAGCCCCAGGGCTCTTTCTTCCGAGAAAGAGCATCTTGACCTTCAGACAGTGCTCAAATCTGGCTCTGCTGACCATCTCTTGTGGGGGAACTAGGTCAGCTAGAAGCACCTGTGAGAGCCTAAGACTGGCCAGTGAGGCCGCCTGGGTGGACAGGCCAGCCTTGGAGAGCAGGTCCAGCCCACTTTGTGAGCACACATATGGCAATAGTTGTGGAGGTCCCTTGCGTGGAGCCCACAGACGCAGTGCTCCCTGCAAGACTGCGGGCGCTGCCTGGGGCTCTGGGCTGTGCAGCTGCTGGCCGAGGGCCAGCCTGCCTCACAGAGCGGCTCCGAGTAATGTTAATAAAGTTGAGCTGTCTTTTCCCACAGAGTGCCGCATCTGTCTTCATTGAAGCGTGCTCTCAGTAATTTCATTGTGGGGTTTTCCATTAAAAAGTTTGATTAATTCCATAAATATTAAAATAAGACAGATAATTAGAATCCAGGTACTCACTGTTACACAAAAGCAGTAAAGGCTGCACTAAATTATTATTATTAATAATAAGCACTCATATAGCACTGGTAATAAGTGTGTAGGAAAAGCGATTCATGGTCATTGTTATTAATATCATCCTCCTCATGATGGTCTGTGCCAGTGGCTGCAGCGCTCCCCATGTTCTAGAAGTGAGACTGAAGCCCCAGAGGTGAGCTGATTTGAGACGAAGCGGCCTTCAAGCTGATGCACAGACAGAGGGACCGCAGGCTGGAGGCTTGCTTTGCGCTTGAGCTTTGGGGCTCACAGACGTAACCGTCTCAGCCACTTCTGGTCCTGGGAGACAATTTCTCCCACTCTCTGCTGCCTGATTTCTGCTGTGTGGGGAGGCTGTGTGCAAGCTTTTTCTATTCTCCAGCCCTCGGGATGACAGGAGGAATGGGGAAAGAGACAAGGGACCTGGTCCCCTGGGTATTTGCTTGAGAGCGAAGCCTCTGTATAAATCATGTAGACAAGTTTAAACTATGAATCATTAAGGGAGAAGGGAGGGTACGCCGAATCAATAAACAGCAAAGGAAGGGGAACTCTCCTTACCCTTCAGCTGCTGCACCGATTTTGTTGTGTTTGGTCAGTCGTAATTGTCTCACTAATCACTTTAAGGTGGATTCCCAAAGTGGCCACCTCGGGGAATGAAAAAACACTTTGTTCTTATTTTTAATCAGAGGAACAAGTCAACTATACAGAAAACTTTGTTTTGTCTTTTTTTAAAGCACTTTTTAAAAAAAGAAAAAAAAAAAAAAAACCTTCTCAGCAGCTAAGTGGGGAAACAGCCTGACCTTCCGCGACGATAGAGGTGTGAAACTTTCCCCTGCTGCTGGCTGTGGATGTGGCATTACTGATAAGCCCTTCTGTCCCAACCTGGCACAGATGTCAGACCCAGGAGATGCCAGACCCAGCGGAGACAGGGCTCTACTTTTGCAGATAGCTGCTGTGAATTTCATGCCATGGTCTGGCTAATGCCCCCACCCTCACAAAGGTCTCAGAACAAGGAGGGCTGCTACTCTGAGCCCATGTCTGACCAGCTGAAGTGGATCTGACAGAAAACCGGAAGAAAGCTGGCTGCTGACTTGAAAGGCCCTGATGGTCAGCAAGAAGGGCATCCTTGCCTTGTGGAAGAGCAGGACTGGAAAAGCAGGACGTCATTCCACAGCTGGGCTGTAAGAAGCAGATGCTGCAAACGCCGCACTAGGCATAGAGGCAATGGTTTCACAACAGCGTGAATGTGTGTCTTGCCACTTACTGAGATGCTTAAAAATGGCTGATGGTAAATTTTATGTTGTACATATTTTACAAAAAATTTTTTTAAACCCACACTAGGTCCTATCGGAGCCTGAGACAAAAAGAAAATCGACTAATACTGATCCCATCTACATTTAAAAAGTGGATATTCTGCTCATCAAGGAAGTTTGGAGCCAGGGATATAGCTCAGTGGCATAGCACCTGCCTGGCAAGCGTAAAGTCCTGAGTTAATTTCCCGGTGCCAAAAAAAAAAAAAAAAAAAAAAGAATTTTGGATTAGAATTTTAAATATTACTGTTATGATCTCCCTTGTTTTTAAAATATTACTGTTATGGTGACCCCTGGACCTTAAATGTTGCCAAGAGGCTCATGTGATGGCTTTGTTAACCGATGGTGCTCCTGGGGAGTGGTAGAAACTTTGGAAGTGGGCCGAGTTGGAAGAAGTAGGTCACTGGGGGCTGCCCCCAAAGGGTATACTGAGACCCTAGCCTCCTCTTTCTCCTCTTCTTTTCCTCTTCCTCTTCCTCTCCCTCTCTCTGTCTCTCCTCACTACACACCCCAGCTGCCATCACCTGAACAACTTTTCTATACCATAACTCTCTACCATATTGTTTACCTTCCCACAGATGTGACATGGTGCATCAAGTCACTATGGACTGAAATGAAGAGGCAAAAGAAATGCTTCCTCTTTTTAAGCTCTTTATTTCAGAGATTTTGCTACAGTGATGGAAAGCTAACACATCCCTTTAACCAAAGTTAACTTTCTTGTGTTTTAGTTACTGATAGCCAACCATGGTCTGAGAATATTAAGTGGAAAATTCCAGAAATAAATCATCATAACTGCACTGGGAAGTGTTTCTGGAGTTCAATGTTGTCTGCCTCTATGTTGCATCCTGGAGAAAGATCTACAGGTGAGAAAATGTGGGAGAGGCTGTAAGAAGAGGAAAAGGAGCTCAAAGATAGGAAAAGGGGTTGAAAGGAAGCTCCCAACTGCGCTGAGTATGCCTTGGAGGGCAGGGGTGGGAGTGAGCTTACTTCCTGGAGCCCAGAGAGAACCCTGAGGAGTAACCAGTGGCTGGAAGTTCATGAGGGACTTTGAGGACCTGAAATAGGTTTTCTTATGTGTAAGAAAGGGGAAATTGAGACAAATCTTTAGTAGTAAGTAGGCCCTAGGATACAACTAAGGCACATCAGAAGCTCATGATGAGCAGGAAAGGACATTGGGACTGGAAAAGGTTGGATTGGGGTTACCAGGACAAATCCAGTCAGACTGCCTGCAAATGCTGGGCTGGCTGGGCTGCAGATGAGAAGCATGTGGTAGGCAAGACTCATCTGCTTGCTCGTGCCAGCTTCCTAATTCATCTTCTCTTTCCACACGGGCCCCATGCCAATCTTGGCCACATTGTGTTCTTCAAAGCCATGCCTAAAATTATCTCTTGAATGTATGTATTTGCTTATTGACTGCTCCCTTTCCACCCTTCATTTAAATGCCACAAGGGAAGGGATAGTATCTATCTTGTTCAGTGTGGAATCTCTAGCACTTAGAGTAGTACCCAGCACATAGGTAGACCTCAATAAATATTTGTGGAGGGAATGGATGCATGAGAGAGTGAATGAAAATCTGCATTGAGGAAAGCCTTTTTCATTGAAAAGATACAGTGAAGTTTTTAAAAATTTCTTACAACAAAAGACATATTGCCATCAAATCCCCTGAAACCTCTCCCCCTTGCTTCAAACACACCAGTCTCATCACTCTTGGCACTTTCTGAAGCAGTTCTGAAAGCCCTCTTTCATGAGTGTCTTTAGTTTAAACGAAATCGATGTCCTGAATCTACTGAAAATGTTTACCTTGCATGGTCATTTTAACTTTGCGAAAGAGCCAGAAGTCATACGGTGCCATCCAATGAATAAGAGGAATGAGGACACGTCATAATGTTTTTATAAGCCTGCCTTTCCCTTTGGATAGCACTTTGCAGCTGTGTTCAGGGTAGTTTTTGTAAAGACAGTCATGAAAGAAGACTTCCAGAACTTCTTCAGAAAGTAACAAGAATGATGGGATAAGTGTGTTTGAAGTGAGAAAGAATGTTTGGAGGGGAATGACCTGTAAAGTGTCTTTTACTATAATAAATTATTTTATGTAAACACACGCCACATATTTTGATCATCTGTTGTACTTCCACAGTGGAGAAAGGGAACCGGAGGGTGGCACACACCTGAGTATGTGGATGAATAAGGTGTATTGGCTCACGGATAGCAAGGTCTCAACCGCAGTGCCATGGGCTCTTGGCACCGCCTGTTCACTGTTCCTGACTCCTGTTTATGCATCTTCAGATGCACTCTGAGTGTTGTGTTCAGAGAAAAGAGGGGAAGACCCACTCTCCGAGGCTGACCAGGCCACATTTGACAGAAAGTGATGGTCCTCTTACAGAAGTAGAAACAAAGAGGAGAGTAGCTGGGTGAGGAATGCGACAAGGGCAGACTTGATGGTAGTGGGCAGACAGGATAACACAGGCTTGTGGAAGAGGAACTAGACTTACCCTGTGTGGCCCTAGGGAGCAAGATGAGGACCAGAGGTAGAAGTGAAAGGCATGTTTAAGGCCACTGTAAGGGAGATGCTCCTATGCTTTGGCACTGGCAGGCACTGAATAGGGTGACCTCATGAGACCCAGAGTTCCTTGTCACTGCGACTATCCAAGCAGGGGGTTTAGTACAGCATGTGGCCCAGAGTTGAGTGCAGAATGAACGCTGTTACTCTCTTGGATAATGGTAGTTTTGGGAGTTTCAGCGACCAGCAGTAGGAGGAGTACTGGCCCAGTCTCTGCTCAGGGTTCTAGGGGATAACCCATTGTGATCCAGAAAAAAATGAGTGATAGTAAAAAAGGGAGTAAAAGAATGGGAAGGTTGTGATGGTGCTGTGAAGAAATGTAGATGGGATCCCCTCGGGAGCCAAAGCATTTGCAGGACCAGCTGGCAGTGGCTTGGATGAATGATGAAGGCATTTCCGGGAACAGCCCACAGCCTGGCAGAAGGAGAGCAGTCCCTGGAGATGGTGATTTCCTGCCCTGTGCAGCCCTTGCTTGAGGCATTCTGCACACTTGTGTGAATGAAGCTGCTCACAGAGACACCTAAGGAAAACAGAACCTTTCAGTCACTTCAGTCTATTGGTTTGATTTGAAATACATGTCTCCTACCAAATTTCTTTTTGCAAGATTGTTCTTTGCAAGCTCATAGCAGAATAAAGCACTGGTGGATGGCTGTCTGGGAGATGGTGCCTAATGCTGGAACTGGAAGCCGCTGTCAGCAGAGTGAGCCCTCTGATCTCTTACCTTGCCCAGACCTGAACCCATCCTTAGTTCTGCCTCTGTGTTGCTGGGGCTGGAACTCTGCAAAATGAGATGTTTCCTTTGCCAGCTGATTGCTGTCAGTTCAGCAAATCAGGCCAGTTGGGAGCCAGGCAAGAAGGGGAATGGGGCTGAGGATTTCCTGTTTCCTATTTGTTTACTGTTTCTGTCATTGTTTCTCCAACAGTGGCATTTTGTGCAGTCCAGGTGGTCGCAGTTTGCTCTGGTTGTGGCGTTCTAACTAAGCTCCTCCTGCCTCTTTAGCGGCACCACCCCCAGCGTGGAGATCTGTGTCCCCTCTGTGGAGCCTTTCCCCTCTGGTTTCTATCTTTGGATAAACCCAGTCCCTTTCCATAGTTGCCCTTCCTCTAGGGGCAATAGTTACTTCTCTATCCTCATTGTCTTTTGTACTTCTGTGTGTCCCTTATTGCCTCTCTTTTTTCCTTTCAGCTTTCCATCACTTTTGTAACCAAGTTCCTATATTAAATTCACTCTGTTGACATAGCTGTTTTACAGACTGAACATAGCTAGAGATTTTGTAGGATTGGTTGACTCCAGGGTTATAGGCCTGGAGGCCAAGAGGAGGTTAAGGTGTGTATAGAATTAGAGAAGGAGGACAAGGCAGGAGGAGAAGGGGGAAGATGCATGGAGACAGATTCAAGGTTATGGTTTATATCTGAAATGTTTCCCAAAAGTCTGATGGGGCTTTTGAAAGCTGATTGGATCATGGGAGCACTATACTCATCAGTGGATTAATCCACTGAGTTCAAACTTAAATGTGCTGGAGAAGGTAGGGCTGACAAGAGGGAGGTCACTGTGGGAAGGACCTGGAAGGATTTATTCTTGTCCTCAGCTCCTCCCTTCATGCTCTGCCTCCTGGCCACCACGGAGGTTCGGCCACCATGGGTTCGGCAGCTCTCCTGCACATGATTTTCTGCCATGCCATTTCTTCCCTGAAGTCAGCTAACCATGGACTGAACCCTCTGAAACTGTGGGCCAAAAATAAATTTTTCCTTTAAATTATGTGTGTCACATTTATATTTAACAATGGGTAAGGAGGCTAATGGAACAAATTGGTACCAGAGAAATGATGTTGGTGCTGTGACTGTACCTGACCAAATGACTTAGCAGCTTTGGAACCGGTTTTCAGGAGTGTTTGGAAAAGTTTAGAGACAAAAATGGATATGTACCCTTGCAAACACTCCCTTCCTCCCTTCCTTCCTTTTTATTTCCTGCTTTCTTCCTCCCTTCCTCCTCCTTTATTTTTGTCTCCTTTATTTCTTCCTCTTTTCTTCTCTCCTTCTCCTCTTCTTCCTCCTTTTTTTTTCCCCTCTTCTTTTTCTACTTGCTCATCTTCACCCACCCCCACCAATAGACTTTTTTGTTTAGAGCAGTTTCAGATCCAGGGTGTGAAACCGAGAGGAAGGCATGAAGGTTTTCCACACGTCCCCTCTCCTTGCATGTGCACTGCCTCCCGCATTATCAAGTCTTTCACCAGAATGATGCCTTTGTTACAATCAGGGAACCTATACTGACATATCATTATTGCACAAAGACAATAATTTTTACATTACAATCTACTCTTGGTGTTGTAAATTCTATGATTTTGACAAATGTACAGCAACATCCACCCACCCACCATTACTGTATCATGCAGAGAAGTTTTACTCCCCTAAAAATCCTCTGTTCTTTGCTTATTTCTCCCTCTTTCCCCTTAAGCCTTGGCAATCATTGTTCCTTAGAACAATGACTCTTAGACTCTTCTGGAATATCAAACACCAGGATTCACAGTTTGTAGCCCTTCTGAGATTGGCCTACTTCACTTAGTAGAAGCATTCATGCTTCCTCATGTATTATTGCAGCTCAAAAGCTCATTCTTTTAAATATCAAACAATATTCCATTGCCTGAATAGATCACATTTATTTTTCTATTCATCTACAGAAACACATCTTGGTTGCTTTCAAGTTTTGGCAACTATGAATAATGCAGCTGTAAACATCCATGTGCACATTTTTGTGTGGTCATATATTTTCAGTTCCTTTGGGAAAATACCAAGTAGGCCGATTTCTGGATCATATGGTAAAAGTATGTTTAGTTTAATGAGAAACAGCCAAACTGTTCCAATTTTGCATTTCCGCCAGCCCAGCAAACAGTGAAAATTCCTGTTGTTCCACGTCCTCATTAGCATCTGGTGTTGTCAGTGTTCTGGATTTTGGCCCTTCCAGAAGGGATGTGGTGGCATCTAGTAGGTATGCTGTTTTAATTTGCAGTGCCCTGAAGACGTGTGATGTGGAACACATTTCCATATGCTTATTTGCCATAATTATGTCTCCACTAGCAGGATATCTGTTAAGGTCTTTGGCTCATTTTCTAAAAGGATTGTTTTAGAAACAGTTTTTTGAGTTTAAAACCCCTTTGTTGAATCTTAAAAATTCTTTGTATATCTTACATAATTTCCTTATGGGATATGTCTTCGACAAATATTTTGCCCTTATCTTTGGCTTGCTTTTCTATTCTCTTGATCCATTTGGCTCTCTCTGGTGATATTTTCTTCATTTCTTTCACTATATCACTGTAGCAAAGTAAAATATTGTGAGAGCTTAGGATTATCTGAAGGAAAAAGGAAGCTTTGAGAAAGGAAGGGAAAGAAAACTATTAGTGGTCATAGGGCTCTGCAGGGGACACAGAGCCCAGTGGAAGTCATAGCAGGGTATACACAGAGGGCAATGTGAAAGCTCTGGACTCAGGAAGGTTCCATTAGTTAAAGGAGATCTGAATGTTGGGGAGGAGGGATCAAAGAACAATTTTACTTTGAAATTTTGCTCTGGTGTTGTAATTTTTCCTTCTGGATATGAGATTTAAAACTATAATAGATTTTTAAAAGACCAGAAATAAAATAATTCCTACCACATTTTTTTTAATGATATGCAATCTGGGATTCTTCTACATTTGTACTAACACATAAATGGTGCTGGCAAGGCTTAGCCATTCTTGCCTCCATGCTAGGTGCTAGGAAAGCAATTTGATTAAATGGGCATTATTGACCGCAGTGGAGGTTTTGATTCATACACAGATGGCATTACATTAAATTATGTTGTCTGGCTTACCATTAAGGGACATCTTGAAAGGGAAGCAAAGCAAAAGAGTTATTAACTTTAGTGTTAGTGCTGGGGAATCCTCTGCCCAGGGAAGGGAAAGGTCTGGGCCTCATGTGTCTAGGCGAGAGCAGCTGTGCTGCGGGAGTGGGTTCCCTTCCACAGGCTCCAGAAATGCTCAGTGCGTCCGTGTAAAGGCATACTAATTGCAGTCATTTAGGCGAATTGATTACCATTTAGGCCTAAGTGCCAACAGCACAGTAATGATTCTGCCTATCATTATATATGTGTCAGATGAAGTCGACTATAAGCTTTATTTGATTACAATAATAAATTTTCTCTGTCTCCAGCTTTGTAAACTTGAGTTTCAGCTACCTTCTGCTCACTGGCTTGTCACCTATACCCACCCAGGAAGGCCTTGTGGGAAGGGGCCAGAGTGGCTTCCTGGGCCTTTTCTTCTCTCCCCCTTGTCATATTTGCTCAGGACAAAGCCTGTTTCTGTGGTCCCTGCCTCTGGGGTATCCTTGCCATCAGGGGAGACCAGTAATCGTCTTTCACCGTTCTTTTTGGCCTGAGAACAGACAGGGAACTTCAAATCTCAGGAAACTCCTGTTTCTTTCCTGCAGTTCCCTGAAGTAGCTTCTCCCGTCTGGGCTTGGCCCTCCCTCTGGGGAGGCTGAGCTGTCACTTCCCCATCAGAGAAAGACAGCATGGCTCTGAACAAAGTGTCCTGTCTGAGGATGGAGCTCTGGTGGAGGTGTGTGAGCCAATTACTCAGAAGCAAGTTACTCCTCTTTATATTAAAATATTCCACTAATTGTGTCAAGGCCTATCATGTCCACATTATGGCACTTTACAAAAGATACACAAACCAAAGCCCAGTAGGATCTTGAGGGCAGAGTCTCTGCAAGGGGCTGGAATGCTCAATAGAACCTGTTAACATTAGAGAATCTTAAACACATCAAAGAGCCACGCTTTTTAATCTCTCCATGTGAGAGTAGGTCATTTGCAGCCACCACATAATGGAGGATCCAGCCTTTGAATTCCCTCATCTCTGAAGAATCTTACAGGTATGTAAGGACAACTGCCTCAGGCTGGGGAGAGGAGAAGAAAGATGTTTTGAGCTGTCTCTGAATAGAAGGAAGAACTCCTGAAGACCCAGCCAATGAAGAGACAGCCTTTCAATGATCACTCCCACCTCTGAAGGGTTGGAAGGTAGGTACTGCCTAGCTGTGGCACCAGGAAAAAACTAGCCCTTGAGAAAGAGCTGCTGATTGTGTATATGTGTGTGTGTGTTTGTATGTATGTGTGTGTGTGTGTGTGTGTGTGTAGGTTGTTGGTTTTCATGTGTCAAATTATACCCTACTGTCTACTTTGTTACTATGGATTAAGGTCGCCCAGAAAATGGTCTCTATTAATTAATTATTTGCAATTACATAGCTGAGGGCTACTTTACCCAGGAGACCCCGTATAATATGAAGGACTCCTGTCAGGTGTTGGTCCTGCAGCTTTGTGGGTTCTCATCCCATAGTTTGGGCCCAGCATTACAGACACAGTGTCTGTACGGGCTGGGCCAGCATGGGGCTAGGGAGCTGCTGCTGGCCACTAGCTTCCTCCTCCTCTGAGGGGACATCCTATGAGGCTGTTCAGAAGCTAGCAAGGCTCAGTCCTTCTTGCGAACCCTTGCACCCTCCTCAGATTCTGTATCCCTTGAGTAGACCTCCATGATTGGTCAAGATGGAACCAGACGGGGGTGGGGTTGACTGCATCCGCCCATGCAGCTTTCCCTCAGGCCTGGAGATCACTACCCCTTTCTCTACAGGAGCTCAGCCCTGCAGACTTGACTGACAGCCCCAGCAGCACACATGACTTCTAGAATATTCTGCGGCAGTGCTGGTTTTGGGAACCCAGCAGGGTAGGTGTCCTTTCTGCTGGGCTCTTTGTGGAAGGAGGATGGAGGCAACTCTTGCTATCTTAGTCCAGCTTAAGATGTCACAGCATGTCAGCTCCTGCTGCCTGCAGTGTGTGGTTTTGGCTTGCTGACTTTTCAAGTAGATAACTGATGTTCCTTTTCTGGTTGGTTTTATTGTCACTTCAAACTGCAAGTTTTCAGGTAAGTGGGTGTGAGTGAATGCAGAGTAAGGCCAGACACTTAACACTGTCTTCTGGGCTGAAGAATGTCTCCCCAGATTCACGTAGACTTACCTGAAACCTAAGAGTGTGACCTGAAATAAGGCGTTCACCATCTTAATCAAGGAAGGATGAGGTCACATTGCATTAGAGTGGTCCCACATCCAGTGACTTTACCTTACAAGTAAAGAAAGCGGAGCCCCCGAGACTCACGGAGGAGAACACTACGTGCCCACTGAGAGAAAAATCAGAGTGAGTCTACAAGCCATGGGTTACCAGCTGCCATGGGAATGGAGCTCACAGAAGCAAGGAAGAATACTCCCCTCCCCTGGAGGCAAGGCAGCCAATGGCTTGGTGTCGGACTTTCAACCTCCAACTGTGAGAAGATGTTTCTGTTGTTTTAAGCCATCACTTAGTGGTACTTTGTCACCACTGCCTTGGGACAGCATTGTGTCCTTCATCCTCTTTGTCTTTCCGCATCCCAAGAGGGGCAAGCGTGGGCAGGGAATAGGCACAATCAGGTTCCTATGCTCCAATTTAGATTTCATGTTTACTACACATATAAATAAAACCAAATAAAACACGATGTGTAGTTAAATTTGAATTTTGTGTCAACAACGATTAAAATGTTTTGGTATACATATGTCCCAAATATTGCCTGGGACATATTTATACTCACAAATCATTGCTGATGTGAAAATCAATTGAGTCTGGGTCACCTACCCTGTACCTGGCAACTCCAGGCCCCCTGCCCCGGCTTCTCTGAGCCCAGGCCTCACAGCATGGCCCTCAGGTGTGCTCTGGCCTGCACCTGCTGTAGGTCGAGGCCACGGCCAGTGAGCGCAGCGGCACCTCATCCATTGGTGCTTCTCCCTTCCGGCTTCCTGCGCCCTGCCAGCAGCCTGCAGTGTGAACATCATCTCCACCAGCTGGATGCGAGTCTGGCAGGATTTGAACAGACGGGAGGAGGCAGAGTGGGGCGTGCAGAGTCTGCCGGGAAGGCCTTCCAGCAGGAGGAATTGGAGCCTCCCGGCGATTCCCACTGAGCCGCGCTTGGCATCAGCCTCTGCACTTTGATTTGTTCTATTTTAAACTGTCTGTAATTGCCCTCCTGGGGAAGGCGGGTGGGGGCATGGAGAGGTGGGGGTGTGCAGCGAATCCAGGGATGCAGGAGCAGTTGGAAAACCAGAAACCAAGGGGCAGGGTTCAGTTGGCTATTAAGGCAAAGGCCCAGGAGCAGAAGGCCTGGGGAGGAAGATGAGCTGGGGGTCAATGTGACCGGAGGGAGAGGGCTCACGGGAAGAAAGTAAAGTCCTTACCTACTGAGAGACGCAGTGGGCAGGGCCAGAGTGCTAGACCAAGCAATTTGGAGGATCAATAGTCCTAGTGGATAGTTTGGATGTGGGAGACAAGGGGCTTCTGAGAACACAAGCCTGGTGACCAAAAGTCTGTGGTACCGTTTCCCAAAAACAGCCAAGGAGGAGAAGGAGGGACCTTTGGAAGTACAGGCTCCGACCCCACAGCATAGTGGAAACAGCTACAGGTGGATAGAAGTTCACCAGGACAGGCTGCTTTCCAGGAGAGGTTAGTAAAGCTGAGCAGGGCAGGTTCCAGGAAGCCCCTGGGGCCTGGGAAGGGTATCCCCTTGGCTTGGTGGGCGGGTCTGTCCAGCCCTTGGAGCTACTGGTCAGAATGGAGGCTGGGCAGAGCCACTACCTTCCCGGAGTGGGTGCAGGCCCTATAAAGAACAGTGCTCCTAAGAAGGCGCCTTCTGTGGCTGGTGAGTGTGGAGTGGTGGACCACAAGGGTCAAACGTGTGGTCTTAGGTGTCAGCGGAAAGGGCTTGGGGAGCAGGGCACTAAATTCTGAATAAAGAGCAGTTCTGCCACACTATTGCAGGTAGTTCCCTGGTTGTAATGCATCCGCCTGTCATCGCCCAGTACCATGGAAGCTGGAGGTGTGAACAAGAGTGATCCTAAAAGGTTGAGAAGCTGGGGCGAGACACTGGAACTAGGAAGTATGGCCATTGTTATGGGAGGTAGGACCCTGGAAAATGAGGCCGCAGGCTTTGAAGCCACACACCTGGATTCAAATCTCTGTCCAGCTTTTCATAAAAGCTCTCAGCTTCAGCTTCCTCACCTGTAAAATGGGGAGACAGTACAATCTATTGCTCAGGCCTTTAATGTTGGATTTGAGATGCGCTATCTAAATTCCCTACAAGGTTCGAAGCACATAGCTCTCAATGAATTGTAGCTATTAGAGAAATTTGTGCAAAGCATTTGGAGGCCTTAAGTGCAACTAGAGGTAGAACTAAAGCTTTGTGCTAAATCTTGGAAATTGGTTGGGTTCTGTTATGGTTTAGATCCAAAATATCCCCCCAAAGTCTCATGTTTTGAGTTGTGGGGCCTTTGAAAGCTGATTGGATCCTGGGGGTACTGTGTGGGTAATCCCCTAATTATGGACTCTGTATTAATCCACTGATCAGCTCATAACAGAACACTGTTACAGCAGGTCGAAGATGGGGCGTGACTTGAAAGAACGTATTCTTGTTCCCAGCTCTTCTCTCTCTGCTTTCTGGCTGCCATGGGTTGAGTAGCTTTCCACTAAGCTCTTCCACAAAACTATTTCTGCCTTGGAGCCACCGAACCATGGACTGAATTCCCCCAAACCATGAGCTAAATTAATGTTTCTTCCTTTAAATTGTGGGTGTCAAGCATTTAGTCTCAGCGATGAGAAAGTGAATATAGGTTCTATGAGGACTTGATTGTTTCAAAACAAGAGCAGTAATAGAGGTGTTTATGTATGTGGTATTGAGCTTTTTAAATCTTCATACCAAATCTAGGAAGCAGTTTAGATTTTGGAGTCAGGGTTACATAGGTTCAAATTCTAGCTTTATTTTCTGTGACCTGTGTGATGCTAGACAAGTTACTTTACCTCTCTGTGCCTCCACAGCTTCAAGAGAGGGAGAATAACATACCCATGATGAGGGATTTTTGTGTGTGTGTGAAGATGAGGTAAACGATTGATGCAAAGCATACAGAGTACTGTCCAACATAAAGGAAGTGCTACAGATGTTTCTGTTACCATGTTACTATCCCTATTATACAAGGAGGAACCACATATGATAGATTCTATAACAAGGCAACAGCCCACAGCAAGTGAGAGGTCGAGTCAGAACTTCTGCCAGGCCGTGCAGCACAGAAGCCCTCTCCTTTCCTAATTCCTCAGGGGCTGCTGCTGCTCACCCAGATCTCAATGGAGACCAAACTCCCACTCCCTGAAGTGTGTGGAAACAGGTGGGAAAGGTGTCATGCTGTGCACCACCTTCCTAAGGGCAGAGACCACAGTAGCTGGGAGACTGAGGCCGATCCTGGGTGGCTCTCTCCAGAGACAGCAGCAGACCCGGAAGGAAGGACATGGAGCAAGAGCAGGGTCTGGATGCAGAGAGAAGGAGGGTTTCAAGGATGATGAGCTGTTGGATGGAACCAGCTCTCTAGACAGGGCGAGAAGGAGCAGAGCCTAGGGAGGGCCATGGCCTTGAGGACCAGGACCCGAGCCATTGGGCAGTGGCAGAAGGAACAGTTAACTTGTTCAGGAGCAGAGGTGACTGACTGAGCGGCAAGAGATGTGAGCAGACCCCTCTGTCAGGAAGTCTGGCTCTGCAGGAGTGGAAGCGTTTGACAAGCAGAGAGGGTCTGGAGTCCCTGTGGGGAGGGCTGGCCTGAGGGCCTGAAGCTCTTGGCGGTTGATACCTTTATTTTCATGAAAGCAGGGGTGGAGAATTGCTCCTCTTTCAAGGGTTTCAGGCCCAGGTGGAAGAATAAATCAAAGACCACACACATAGGAAGCTTTTGATTTGCCTTGCTGGCCTGTTGGTGGCACCTTTGTATCCCCAGCACCAGCCTGGATGACAATGTCTCTCTAGAGCTGGGTCTCTGGGTCTCTATACTTTAGATGTAGGGACAAGGAGCTTCTGAGAGGGAAGCCTGAGGGAATGAATGAATCTAACTGACAAAAAAGTTGTGGTACTAAAAACTGCACAAAAAGAGATGTGTGAAGGTGATTAGCAAAGCCCACTTCCGGGTGTATTGTAGATGGGTCAAGGAAGTGTGACCTTAGGGGCTGTGACCTGGGGTGCTAGCTCTCTCTGGTCCCTGGCCACCTCGTCTCTGGCACATTTCCTCTGCCCTGCTTCTTGGCTTAGTTTCCATGAACTAAGCAGGTTTGCTCTGCCATGATGTTTTTGCTTTGGAGACAGTGACCATGGACTGAAACTTCTGCAATCATGAGACAAAATAAACTTCTACTGTGTCAGGTATTTTGTACCAGTGACAAGAAGGCTGACTAGTTCAGAAACCATGGACCAAAGAATCCCAAAAGATACCCACACTGAGGCCCTCTGCAGGGTCCCACTGGCTCCCGTGGTTGAGGTGCCAGAAGACTGAGTTGGGCTGATGGCACAGTAGGACTCAGGGAGCTTCCTAGGCACTTCCGAGGGGGAGAGGTACCCTCCTCTTTCAGCTCTCCTTGTCAGGAATGGAAGAATACAAGAAGGAATAAATGAGATTGGGGATGCTATGGCTTGACTGTTTGCCCCAAGGGTTCGTGTGCTGGAAGCTTGGCTCCCAGTGTAGTGAGAGGTGGTGGAAGCTGTAAGAGGTGAGGCCTACTGAGAGGGAGTTAAGTCATTGGGGAGATATCCCTGAAAAAAGGATTAGTCTCTCTCCCGTGGAATCCCAGTTAGTTTTTGAAAGAGCAAGCCTGGCCTGAGCCCCCCTGGTTCCTGTCTCAAGCTGGGATGGTTCTTTCCACACACACACTCCTCGCAGTGCCGCCCGCTGTGCAGTGGTGCAGCCTGAAGGCTCTCACCAGAGGTTGCACCAATGGGGCCACCTGGTCTTGGGCTTTTAGCCTCTGACACTGTGAGCTAAGTACATCCATTTCCTTCATAAGTTTCCCGGGCTCCATATTTTGTTGTGGCATCAGAAAACATACTAGTGCAGGGGTTCTGAGCTGCTTGGGCCACAAGGGAACCCAGTGAGCCCTGAGGGAAGGTCATTCGCGCTCTCTAGAGTCTCCTGCTGACTCCACTGTGGATCCTGTTGCTCTGTTTTAGAGAAGTATACCATGTCTGTCTGTTGACTTTATCAAAAAGGATCCTAAGCTATTCAATTTCTATGGAAACATTATAGCTCACTTCTGCTCTATGATAGGGCTGCCAGGGAGGGAGACAAGGAGCGGGGAGGGGAGGAGAGCACACACTGGGAACAGCTGGGAATGGGGATGACAGGGACCCTGTGGTTCTGAGAGCGAGCCCCAGGCCCCAGCTTGCTTCGGTCCATGGGCATCACGGAAGCTGATCACCTGCTGTGGCTTCCCTTTGAACTGTTTATCAGCTCTTCGATACTTTGCATCATTTTTTTTCTACAACATATACAGTTGATGGTTGAAAATTTAAAGTTTATTTTTGAAACAAGAACCAACCCATTTTCCAGAGGCATTCTGGATGTTTGGCAGGACAGACACTGCCATACTCAGAATGTCATAATGTGTCTGGAACATGGGTGTGGGCAGCACTGTCCTGGCCATGAAGCATTCTCCTGGGTCATGT